GAGTGACCTCGGGCTGCGTCGGGCAGCCTTTCCCCCCTAGCCCGACCTGCGCTGGAGATGCTCTTAGGGTCTAGAGCGGTTACGACGAGCCATTGGATCAAGTCAAGTTCAGGTCGTGCTATTTTGAGGTAATGAGAAAGAGCATTCTCTATTTTGAGCATAGTGCTCTTTTGATTGATTTTCATGCGTCTCGTTTTTGGATTTAGTTAAACACATTCATCTCCTCCGCAAGTATGGTGCATATTTTGAAATTTCGAGATAATCCAACACCAACACACGGAGTATAATCAAGTACAAATGCCAAATGATGGGCTAACAACACATTTATCTACAAGGCAGAAGATGAAATCCTTAATTAAATTAATCATTGAGATATTGTTTTTGTTTTATAAATATAATAAACAAAAATAATCTAGTGTACTAACAAATCTATATCACTGCAACAACACCAACAAGAAGAAGAAGAAGAAGCAGCAGCAATGAGAAATTACATCATTGTAAAAGAATACATAGTGAGGATAAAAGCCAATTCACAAGAACTCACTTCCCCAACACACATAAGTCAGAAGATCCTGTGTCATAATCGATCACACAATGGGGCTCTATGTTCCCACAAAATATGAACTTACCCTTTGGGCACTGAAGACGTATATAGCCGATGTTTCACCAACAGGCTGATCGAACAAAGTTACAAAGCTGTGATTCTTAATGGTATGACTTGAGGTGGAAAACTTGGCAAGCAGGCGTGTAAGATTTCTTTAGTGCAGCCTGTTCAAACTTCTTTGAGGCTACTTCGTTCTCTTCTAAGCTAGTTTGAACAAAGTACCTTATCCACCAGGACGAGCTTCGCAATTTGGCCTTTAAAAGAAAATCATTGCATCATTTCTCTATATTTAACTTTGTAAAGCTATACATTAGGAAGTTAAACTTGCCAGATCCATACAACCAAAGCAAGCAAATGAAAACTGAGAATCATAATTTAGTTTATATGTATCAATTGTCATCAATGACTGGGAAACTAAGAAAATTCGGAATATAATAAACGTTAATCACTTACTGGACGGCCAAATTTGGATAGCTCTGCAACTTTAGCTTTATGCTGACCTGGATAACCTACAAAATGGAAATGACAAGTACATAAAAATTCCTAGAGATCGGTTACTATCAAGTATGGTTTGTATAATCTATTAAGGGCAGGATCATTTACCAGTAAATATAACAACACCATCAGCAGATACCCTTGCCAGCTCTGGAAGAGTTTTGTTGAGGTATTTTGGAGACAAGTAATCTAACGCATCTGATGCTATTACGAGAGAAAATGATTTTGGCCGATAAGGCAGAGAAAACTTTATATCAGCAGCACGCACAATGCCTTTGCTCACGAGACTCTTGCAATTTGCATCAGCATCTTCTAAGTCAAATGGTTCCACACCCCAGGCTTCTGTATCCTCCTCTTTTAATAATTTAGATACCACTGAACAGGTGTCAGGGCCCACATGCAACACCTTCTTCATGCTATCACCATATGCTTTCTTTAGTATAGGTATTGCTCTCTGAACTTCGAATGTGCACGAAGCACCACCTGCATGTAAATATGAGAGATTGTCAAACTGTAAAAAGTTCCTCTACCTCAGAAAACCTGCATGCTAACAGTAAAATAAAAAAATTGAGGGAACCAACAATCTCTCATCGCAAAAAGTTCGCAATGCATAACATTCACATAGTTTGAAACAACTGAATTCATACCACAAAATTTGATAGATCCACTCAATTTAACCATACAGGGATATATAAGCTCGGAGATGTTGAGAATTTTGGAAAGACAATATAGAATTCTAACAACCCATGTTAATAAATCACGCAAACTATTGCATTCAATAACCAAAATGTTTTAGAGAAAGGGAGACTGGACAAAAGAACAGGTCAGGAAATATACCTTCAAGTTTAATCACAGCCTCTTTACTGCTCCGTCCACCTGACCCGCTGAAAGCATAGCAGACAAGAAGAATTGCACCCTGAAATTTAAAAGTTAATACTCAGTACTTTCGTATCAAAACGAAACCTGTTTGTGTAATTATGTTCAGTGACGGCATTACTAAGAGAATTCATTCCTGAAATTTCAAAGTTCACACTTGTTAGTTTCGTATTGAAGCTAAACCGGTTAGTGCAATCTTGTTCAGTGACAATATTACTAACAGAATTCATTTCTACGATGGAATCACACGATTTAGTCATATCAGTTCGTGCTTAACTACCAAGTATTATTTTTTGGTTATGCTAGGATTATCAATGTTAACACCATGCTCCTAAAGAATACCGATGCAATGGAAGTAGAATGGTAATGGAAAGTACCACAAGCACAAGCCCTATAGACAGTAGTGGCGATGAGCGTGCTTTGGACTGCACAACACCCACAAATGGGATGCTTCCACCGTCGCCAATGCGTCTAGCAGGATTTACTGGCCTCCTTGACATGATTTTATTAAGTAGTGAGCCTGCAAAATCTAGCATAAGTTGAAACAAAACTTCGATTAGCAGTGTTTCCAAAAGCCTTGTGTTGAATCATTTTTCTAACTGTCCTCTACTCATTGATCTCAAAATTTTCATATAATCCAATTAAATTGGCATCAACCATCATGACAATGCCACAAAGAGATCTTCTTTCCAAACGTCAATTCAAACTCATACATAAATCTACCAAACCCATAAACCTTTTTTCTTCTGCATTTCAAATACCATCTTAACGAATTTATCATTACTACTCAAAAAGCTGGCATGATTGAGCAAAATTCCAGTGAAACACGCATGTACAGCTCAAAATTTGTGAACATAAGACCAACCCAGATATCCAAGCAGCCACGGAATCAATAAGAACTCAAAAACACAATCACAAAAAGCCAATCTTCGAAAAGAAAATGAAGATAAGAATTCAAATTCAGATCGATAAAGCAGTAAAGAAACTTAATTTGTGGATAAATCACTCTGTCCCATTCAAAGACATGGATCTAAGAGCCGAAAAAAGCAGAGCAAAGAGCAATAGTAAGAGAAGTAAGAGAGAGAGAGAGAGAGAGAGAGAGAGAGAGAGAGCTTCTGGAGAATGCAGCGGGAAAAGCTGGGATAGGAGATCTAGAGCGCGATTCAGATCTGTGCGGGAGCCCTGGTTTTACTCTTTAGCTCGTAGAGAGTGTGTTTGGAACCGATTTAGTTTCTAGTTGTCAGCGCCTACACTTGCAGGTCCTACACCACTACAAGTACACATCTATATTAAATAATTCAATAAACCCATTTCACCAAAACCAGTAATTTAATATGCACCGACCCTCTATACAACTTGTGTGTTTAAAAGAAATAAAGCTCTTATTCGAAAGAAGAAAATAAATAAGAGGTATCTATTTATTTTTATAAATTTTTGGATTTGAGATCATGCGTTTGAATTTCCTCTCCTTCAATATCACTCGTATATATACAATTTTTTTTACATATTATTATAAATGTTGTTTTTAAAATTTTCGCAAAAGTAAAAGATAAAAATGAGTATCGTGGAAAATAATTTGAGCACTTTTTTTAAGGGAGCTGATTTCCCTGCTCCCATTTTCTCCACTTATACTCCCTTTTGCTTTTTAATCAATTTTGTTCTTTCTCTTTCCTATTTTATTCTTACTTTACATTAATTTTTTTTCTACTTCATTTTTATATTATTTCTTTTTCTTTATACTTAATTTTCCAACTTACACACAGTAAAACAAAAAAAAAAAACTCAATTTCTTATTCGATTAAAGTAAAAAAAATACTGAAAATTTAGTTCAAGTTGGAAAATTAAGTATAAAGAAAAAGAACTAATATAAAAGTGAAGTAAAAAAAAAATTTAATGTACGGTAAGGGTAGTATAGGTAAGGATAGTATAGGAAAGAGAAAGACCAAAATTGAAAAGCAAAAGGGAGTGTAAGTGGAGAAAAAGAGAGTGGAGAAATCATATCCGTTTTTTTATCATAAACAATTTGAGAAAATTGATATATTTTTGTCAGCTTAGCATACATCTCTCAAGGTCAATCATGTATGACTTATTTGGCTTTTTCTTACCGTTTACTTTTGAATAATGCTACTCTTAACACATACTCTTGTATATCACATTTCCTTACCATCTTATATGGCAGATGAGGTGGACAGCCGCATCAATTAAAAGTAATTTAACATTTCTTTTCTTTTATGATTTATTGACACTTTTTAATTGATGTGGATGTCCACTTCATCTGTCATATAAGGTGATATGAGAATGTGGTATACAAATATGGTAAAAGTAGCAGTACTTTTTTCTTATTGCAAGTTTTAACTGAAAAAATTAAATGCAACCCAATTAATTAAAAATATTTGAAAATTAAAAGTAGAAATATAAAAAATAGGTCTATATGATTTATTTAATTGGGTTGCATTTAATATGATTTAACCAGATCATTAAACGAGAATTTGGTCTCAACTCAATTGAACCAGCCCAGTCCAATATGATTCATGCACTTGTTAAATTGTGATGGTCTGTAAAGCGAAATGACTCTTAACGTGTAAGAAAGTGTTTTCATTTTGATCATGGCTGTGAAATGCTCTCATATTGAGGAATTGGAATCATTAATTTCCAATAGTTGCAGTTAGGGGGTGAGCCAAAAATCACTCTCGAATCATTTTTCTAAGGTGATATTCTAAATTACAATCAGTGGCGGAGCTAGAAGCTAATCTGTGAAGGGCCAGTACTACAGATGCAAGATTATATAGAGTTATATTTTAACTAATATTGTAGTTGATGCATAAGAAATAATGGGCTTTCCATGGAGTTTGGGGGGGCCATGGCCATGGCAGGCCTGTGTGTGGCTTCGCCCCTGATTACTATAATCTTCTAGGAGAGAGAACTCAAGTACAAGGGAGAAGACATATGTACAAGTTACAACTAGCCTAACTCAAGTTCAAATTGTTTAAACATGCCAAAGAAACCAATCCAGCCCACATTTTAGTTTTACAATTAAAATGTGTAACTTCTATATCCAATTTGAACCAAATCACAATTAATTTTGATAGATTCAGTTTGATTTGACATATTTAAAAACCGCCTAACTTGTACGAACCGCATATTTTACTTTTCTTCAACACTTGACATTTTCTTATTAGTTATCACCGTTTACTATCATATTTTATCTCACACGTTGATATAAACCATTTAATACTAAAAGCTGAAATCCCTAAACTCTCAAAATTTCTCCATCTTCAATAATGAGAAGTTTCCTTTTTGATATATAAGAAAATACAAAATATATGCAATAACCGAACCAAGCCGGTCAACAAATGATTTCGATTAGTTCAGTTGTGTTACTAGTTTGAGGTCTAAATATCAATTCCATGTGTAATTTGAGACCTAAACCAAATCGAATCGCGTCTATTCCTAATTACATTTTCACGTGATCACGAGTACACATATACCACTATAAACTATTGATTGAAGTAAGTATCATTATCAATTATATCAATTATATTGATTAGCCGTTGTCAATTGCTCAGGAATGCGTTGATGACTTCGGTTGTATTAATTTTGTTGCTGACTGGAAGCTATGAAACTGGTATAAACAAAAGAATGGTGGGATTGGGATATATAAACTGAAAAGAAGAGTGTGAGTTATGTCTCATTCCACACCATGAATAGTGGCATCAGTCGTCAGAATTTCACTCTGTTTATTATACTTTACATATCATATTATTATTAACCTAACTCGCACTGAACTGGTTGGCCGTTATTAATTATTTATTTATTTCCACACATTTTTGTTTTTGTGTCCTCTTCTCTTTTGTTATTGAGAAAATAAATTTTATCTCTCTATAATTTTATTGGGGCCAACAGATGTATTACTTTGGGAGGAAAACAACATAGATTTTTCAATATTTCCCCAATAATTACAAAAGTTTAATATAAATTCTACATGAAATGCTTGAGTTTCGGAGGCATGGCTATGGAAAAAAACTTATTTATAACAGGGATAATATTGTTTTATTATCTCTAGCCGATAATATAATAACACATAAAAAAGTTATCTCACGTGTTATTATGTTATTGACCGAGATATGTTCCTGTTATATTAGAGTTTCTCTCCGAAGCGTGGCTCCACTCCTACATTTATGTGTATGAAATGGACAAATATAGACACTTTACTCACTCCCTCTAAGATATTTATCCGGCTTCATTTTGACCACATTAGATCATCATGCTTATCAAGATCATCGTTCGTTGCTAATCATACACAAGGACTTTAAAATGAGGCTCACTGTCACAGAGTTCTGAATATATAAATATCTGAAATGACCAGTTTTTCTTGTTTCCTGCCTTATCTTTTAAGAAGAAAAAAGAACAAAAAGTATTAATTAATTAAGCTTAAAGTTGAAAGGTTGGTCATAAGATTGATCAGTTCCAAAAGGCTATCCAGGATTAGTTATTCTTGTCCCTGGAATAAAAAGGTATCTTGGGATTACGTCCGGATTATATTATAGTTGCATGGCAGGGAAAATTATTGGGTGTATGATTTGCAAGCTTTTGTTATTTCTTTTCTTTTTTATAATGTTCAGATTCAGATTTGCAATATCAGCTTTCATACATGCTGTTAGTTTTTAGTTTGATTTGATTAATTACCATCATCATAGTAGGTCAAATTTATCATTGGACGCAAAGATATTGATCCTTACAAATTGTCCACAAATTGAAAGGGTTGAAATTGGTAATTTGGATTTAGGGTTCATCAAAAAATTGAGATTAATGGTTGAATTTCGACTCCTAATATAAAATGGGGAGAATTTCAGACAAACTTTTACACTCAAGAGTTTTGGATTGATAAAATTGTCCATTGCATCGTTAAAGAAACTGACAAGAATACTACTTTATCATTGAATTGCTACAAATACAAAACTATAATGGCAAAATTGACAAAATTAAAACTGCATAGTAAAAAATGATTAAATTATCAAACGATCAAAAATGACTTTTGATTTTGGCGAAAAAAAAAAAAAGTAAATATCGTGTGATAGACTTTTCGTTTTTTTTTTTTCTTTTGGGTGTTGGACGAGACAATATAAAGACAATATTAAAAGAATGACTCCAATTGTGAATCATATCCTTCGTGTTGGAGCATTGTTCCCCTCTAATTACTTTCCTTTTTCATCAGCGTATCCGTCATCTGCCGTTAGATATTTGGTAGGAAAGCTACTTTTAGCTAGGGAGCCTTTGCTTCTGGTTAATGTATTTTTCTATATTAAACAAAAAAATCACATAAAAGGAAAGAGATGGGACAGCAAATCATCTACAGGGTGAGTGAAGGAATAGTGTACGGCACAAAGCAAAATCTCTCTCCCAATCAGCGGCCTGCAAAATAGATGTCGGTGATGACGACGAAATCGGTTAGAGAGACTGAGATCAAAGCCGCATATTCGGGCCTCTCCAAATTGACCACTAGCTCAATACACCATTGTATAACACGTCACCCCTACACAATGTCGACCGAATACCAGCTACTATCAAATCCCCTTTCAATCAACCCCTTTCACTTTGATTGTTAACAGCACTATATTTTATTGTTTCGCTTATTATAATTAGAAAAACAACGACCATAATAAAAAAAATAAAAAAATAAATAATTTACTCTGTAATTTTCCAAATGTTTTATTTACTTTATGAAAGCACGGGCTTCATGTTTACTTATAAGGACAAATGGGGAAAGTTAGGGATCTTGGAATTAGATCAATTAGGAATCAGATTAATTACTCCCTTAGTTCATATGATTTCTGGTTTTGAGGGTATTTGATTACGGATTTTGTCATGAAATTCTCATAATTTTTTATTCAGTATGTGTAAGTAAAACATATGGAAAGAAAGGAATTGAAATTTAGTAAACATAGAGAAAGAAGGAATCAAAATGATTCCGATACTCATTACTGATAAATGTGTTTTTCTTTCTAATATTAGGTCGTGTTTACTAAACAAGAATGGAAATGCAAAGAAATTTGAGTCCAAGTTACGTTGTTTTTTTATTGAATCTTATTCCTGAATGGGAGGAAGGATTCATATGAAATATAATTATGGAAAAATGAAATGAAATATACTAAAAATTTCAGCATGTTTACTCATAGTATTGCAATGATTCTATGTTTACTCATGACTCTAACTAATTGATTCCTTTATCTAAGTTCCTCAATTCATGGGTTTTCCTATTCATAGTAAGTAAATATGCCTTAATGGGAATCAACTTTATTTTCATTTCTATTCCTAAGAGTTAGTATGGGAATGTCTTACTCCGATTCCTACTCGTTCTGATTCCTGCTTAATAAACATGCCTTAAGGCTTCAAAAATAAAAATACTTTTAATATTCCTTTTTAATTTTCTATTATATCCAACTTGTTTTCATTAATTATATTGTACTTGAAATTTCATCACAAAACATTAGGAACAGTATTCTTGCATATTAAAAATACATTATTCTAAAGAGTAAGCTTTTCACTCTCAATTTTCTTTTTCTCTTTTCACAGTGCAGAGTATCAATTCGATCACCCACTCTAATCCTTTCTTTTTCCTCACTCATCCTCATCTAGTTGCTTGCCTGGTGAGGTTTACTCATTATTTTATAACGTTTCTTTGAAGGAGAACTTAAGCTTTGATGATATTTTCCATCTTAATTATGTCACTTAAGTTTTCATTTATTTTACATCACCTAGATATGAGTATTTTTTCTGCCAATATATTTGTTGTTTAATACAAATACCTTAAGAGGACCTTTGATATAACGGTTTTTCCATTTTTTTTTTTTCTAAGAAGAAGTGTAAATAGGATGGGAAGACTCGAACATTTGATCTCGAATGTAAGAGTAAAATACTTTCAACCACCAAATCTACAAGCCACCACCAGACATAACCATTTTTATTATTATTTTTCTTGTTCAAACTCTTTCTAATTAGTTTTTTTTTGTTTGTTTTCTGTTATGAGTTCAAGAAATATAGCCATGAAAGAAAAACGGAGAATGAAGAAGAAAAATGAACAGATATGAAGATTAAAACTAAAAACTATTTGAAAACTGTTTTTTGTTTTTATTTTGTAAACCATTATTACAACGCAAAAATTGATATAAATTAAAAAAAAAAATATATTGTAAAAGAGTGTAAAAGGTTATGCTAAACGCTACAGAGATATAAATTCTCAGTTCCCACCATTCTCTGTAATTCTCTCTCTCTCTCTCTCTCTCTCTCTCTCTCTCTCAATTGCTGAGTCAGTGTTTGGTTGGGGAGAAGCTCGAACAATCGGCGGCAATGGAGGTGTGTCTCTGAGAGGGAGTTAGATTGAAGCTTTGTCTGTAAATTTGGAAACTTTGGAGGAGGAGAGAGAGTTGCTTAATCGATTGATTGAGAGCTGAGGCTGAAGAAAAGCTTGCTTTTTTCTAATGGCGGTGGAATACGAATGTTGCAGTAGCGGGTTCTTCATTCACATAGCGCTGATCGTGCTGTTGGTGCTGTTCGCTGGGCTAATGTCTGGCCTCACCTTGGGGCTCATGTCCATGAGCCTGGTCGATCTCGAGGTCCTCGCCAAGTCCGGCACCCCCAAGGATCGCAAATACGCCGGTACAATTTTGCCTTTCTTTCTTGTGTCCTCTGGTTTTGTTTGGAACTTTGTGCTCTGTTTGGCTGCTCGGAAAATGTGAGAAAATGAGGAAAGAAAAAAGTGTGGGGCCCAATATAATGTTAATTTTCGTTAGAATGATCAGGTTAATGTTTTTATTTGGAAACTAAATTTTTGCTTGATTATAGGAGCTGTTAAATGAATGCTCGGATTGATCAGCTTAAGAAAATTATTGAGTTTGTTGAAGTAATTTGTCCAACTATGATGTGTTTGTGTTGGTGGGAATGTAGTTTATGGCTCTATTTTCTTATTTGGTGAAAATTAATGTTTTATTTGTTGAAATATAGTCCAACCTTCTTCATTTGCATAAAAAGTAGTATTATGAATGGAGAAAAGGCACGCGATTGGTATTAAAGAATGGAGAGTGATTTTGCAAAATTGATGTTGAAACATCTTCCTAGAGGATTAATACCGGTGCTTATTGTTTGTTATGCATTTTAATTTTTTTAGATGTTTTGGCTTTTTATGACTCTGTAAATTACCTGGCGTTAAGAGGAAAGAACTTGTGCAAGGGACTTTGGCTTTGTAATGATGGATTATGGTTGTACTAGTTTATTATGATATTGCTTTGTAAATTTCTTTTGATTAATCATTGCATCTGTTTGTATGCTTTCTGTTATTTATTACAGCGAAGATATTGCCTGTTGTAAAAAATCAGCATCTGCTGCTCTGCACCCTACTAATTTGCAATGCTGCTGCAATGGAGGTACATGTTATTGATGCTTATTGAAAAAAATACAAGTCTTATATACAAAATAACGACAATATTGAAATGGCCACTGCTCTTTCAGACACTTCCTATTTTCCTAGATGGTCTGGTGACAGCTTGGGGTGCGATCCTAATTTCAGTGACACTGATTCTTCTGTTTGGTGAGGTTAGTGATATATCTTACATTTTGTTTGTATTGAAGCATGGACAATTCACGATATATAGTTGGACTTTTTAAATCTGTGTGAATGTTTTTAATTATATTTTTGAACTAAGTAGCTCTTTGAGGATGGCAACATTGAGTGGATGGATCCAGAGCCTTGCATTTTTGTCCATCATTTTGTCAGGAAAAAAATGACTGGGAAAAAATGAAGTGACTTTTAGCGTGGCTATTTTGAAATACCCTGTCACATGTATTCTTCAAGCCAGTAATGGTGTCAAGCATGATGTGTGTGTGTCACTAACTTCTATTCACCTATGGGAGCAGATTATACCACAATCTATTTGTTCCCGATATGGTTTGGCGATAGGTGCAACAGTGGCTCCAGTTGTGCGCGTTCTTGTCTGGATTTGCATTCCTGTTGCATATCCAATTAGCAAGGCATGATATATTGATTTAGTACTTGCCTTTTTCTTTTCAATTTCTTATGCCTTTTCTCTGACTATTTATATGTTCTATGTGGTTTCCAGCTATTGGACTTTCTGCTGGGCCATGGACATGTAGCTCTATTTCGCAGAGCTGAGTTGAAAACACTTGTAGATATGCATGGTAATGAGGTGCGTTTGACAGCTCTCATACAGTTTCATTGTCAACTGTCAAGTCGAACTTTTCTCTATGTGAAACTCTTGTCTTTTCCAATCTCATCTGCTTTTTTTTTTTTTTTTTTTTTTTTGGCCGGGAATCTGTCATTCTAAAATTCTTTCTTCTGGACCTTTCTTCTCACTTTTGCTTACAGTACATACCATCTATCCTAAAACCATATGACTGTCTTGTTCTAGGCTGGAAAAGGTGGAGAGTTAACACATGATGAGACAACAATTATTGCCGGAGCACTTGAGCTCTCCGAGAAAACAGCTAGTGATGCCATGACTCCTATAGCCGAAACTTTTGCAATTGATATCAATGCCAAGCTTGACAGGTTTATTATGCTTTCAGCATTAGAACAAAATAGTCACCTTCTTTTGACTATATATCTAATGTTTCAATTTGCAACCCTAACTTATGCTAATCACACAGGAATTTGATGAACCTAATATTGGAGAAAGGACATAGCAGAGTTCCTGTTTATTATGAGGAGCCTACAAACATAATTGGACTCGTCCTGGTAAACTCTTTAGCTATTTTTCAGTGCAATTCAAAATAATTCTTTATGAAATTAATTTTCTATTTAACCACAGGATCTGGCATGTTGCCAGATTACTGCTATCTTAACGTGGCCTTTTTTAAATATAACTCCCAAGTTCCCAACCTACAGGTGTTAAAACCAATGTAAATCAGAATTAACTCGGCTTAAATATGTCTCTGTCAACATTGGATCTGAAAAATATTTGCGCATAGACAAGAATGCCATAAAACTTAAACAAGGTTCCTAAAATAATTGGAGTCCACAATCATGTTGGATTAATTGGAGCATAAATTTTGAGCATGATGATCATGCTTATGTATTTTGTTTTCCAATTTCATTCCATCTGATTTGTCTTCATATTAGTTGGTTGCTTTATTTTTCTTGGTGACGTACTTTTCTCAACTATTTTCATTCAAATCTTAGGTAAAAAATTTGTTGACGGTTAATCCAGAAGAGGAAGTGCCTGTAAAGAGTGTCACTGTACGCAGGATTCCAAGGTATTTTGAGTTGGTTAAAGGGATATTACATTTTGTTATAGGTTTAATTACAGTACAAATTTAGGATGCCGTACATCATCTTAATCATAACCTGATGCTCGATTCCTATTTGTTTGATAGGGTTCCAGAAACGTTGCCGTTATATGACATATTGAATGAGTTTCAGAAAGGTCACAGCCACATGGCTATTGTTGTAAGACGATGCAATAAGAATGTGGATCAGACCAACGGTGATCCTGCTGACAGTAAGCACCAACTTCCTACTGTATAATGCCTTGAAAAAATTTCCCCAAAATTTCCCCGTCTGCCTGCCCCTTCAAACTCTATGAGGGGACTTTTTGTTTTTATTTTTGTGATAGACATAGTAGCTGTTCTTTATGTCTCTCTCAATAGATCCAGTGAAGGAAGTGAAAGTTGACATTGATGGTGAAAAGCCTCTTCAAGAGAAGATTTTGAAGAGCAAAAGATCACTGCAGAAGTGGAAGAGCTTTCCCAACACAAACAGTGCAAATAATTCATATAGGACCGGTTCCAGAAGCAAGAAATGGACAAAGGAGATATATTCAGACATCCTGCAGATTGATGGCGGTGAGCCACTCCCTAAGCTCCCTGAAGAGGAAGAGGCTGTTGGCATTATAACAATGGAAGATGTTATCGAAGAACTGTTACAGGTACTCGCTTGTTTTTCATTTTCAAGCTGTATTTCTATTTTCTTTCCCTTCTGTCCACCATTTCTTCTAGGAGGCCTCGTATCCTGATATCAAATATTTGTTAATGTAGGAGGAGATTTTCGATGAGACTGATCATCAGTTTGACGACTCATAACACTGGTCTTTTCTAGGAAGCAAAGTGTCTTCATCTTGCCGTACATATGATCACAGAAAATTAGTGAAACTTGTTTCAGTCATTTCTTTTTTGTCTTGTAGAGTTAACATAGTTTGTAGTACTGTACGGAAACTGTATTGAAAATTCATGCAGTTGAGAAGTGATTAGATGTGTGTTATTTGTTGTACTCTAGTATTAGTAGCTGGCTGTGTATGTTCGAGATGAATGTCAAATTTTTCTCCAGGCTAATTTGTTAAAGAAAGAGAGGTTGAGCATATGGTCTTTGAGTGCGCTGCCTTCTGAACTTATGATAGACCTTGACTGTACAAGACGTTTAATTTCATATGTTGCATAAAACTTGTGAGCAAATTGAATTTCAATCTTAATATTATAGAAATGACTTTGACAACAGTTTTTGAGAACTCACTCACGCGTCGCACTGTTTTCTGTTGTATAATTCTACTTTTAACAGTCCCGTTCTTCTCGTCCCCTCTTTTCTTTTCATGTTTTTCCCATGGTGATTACGGTCACGTCACGGTCGACCATGATTAGATTAGCCAGCATGCTTAACTTTTTTTTTCTTTCTTTTATACTGTTTACTCATTTTCCTGAATAATCTAAATAAAAATTTTGAAAATTAAGGATGGTAAAGTAATTTACTCTTCTCTCTTCCTATTGTAATCTTCATCAGAACACGACCTTGCAGTGTTTACAATGAATTGAAAATGAATTGTTAAAAAAAATTAACCACAACAGGCCCCCAAGTTTTTGGGGCTGGCAGACATGAGAAACCCAAGCAGCCTCGATAGTCGGCAGTCAACAACATAGAAGTTATCACTTGGATGTTGATTTCACAAATGTTAAACCTGGAAATCAAACTCATGATGTGCAAAAGCTTTTCTTATTTGGCAGTTGTAGAACAGAATTTCAATAAAAATCAGATGAAAAATAGAGCATCAAAGAGGCAGCTAAATGAATATAATTTCCAACTTGAGGACCAAAAAGAGAATCTGATTCTGACATAGAATAAAATTACAATTCTGCTTTTGTTTTCATGCACTTCTCATCAACAGTGGTTGTGCATCAACTCCATACAGGCCTGAAAGAATCTTCCTTCAGCTTGGTTAGACTATCCTAGTCAAACTAGGGTTTAGGAAGGAAATAGCACATTTCATTGTGTTCCAGATTTTGCTTTCAAGTTCAATTGTTTTCCAGATCTTTCCTGGAACTGTAAGCAACATAAAGATTCACCTCTGCAAAAACTAGGATGACCCTTCAGAGTAACATATGACCCTTTTGAAGAATGAAAAGCGTTCGATAACATCCCACAGGATAAGATTTTTTTAAATCAGCAGCAAGGCAATGCAAAACACCACTCAAGTAAGGTATTTACTTCTTCTCTCTTCCTTCCTCTTCTTCTTCTTCTCTTTTGATTTATCCTTGGATTTGTGCTTCTTCGAGCTAGCAGCCTTAACTTTTTTTGATTTCTTCCTGTCATAGTCAAGCTCCTCTTCGGAAGAATCACATAACTTCCGTGAAGGCTTCTCTGGTCCATACACACGGCGTTCTTGTACACCGGGGCTCACTAGCAGCTCGTCCTTGGAGTCTGAACCACGGGGAAGATATGGACCTGCTTCATCCATCCTTGATCCAACAGCACCTCTGCCACGCTTGACCCTGCCATAGCAAGAAAATGTAAAAATTCTTCAAGTTCTTCATCTCTTAGATCATTTTCTTCCCTTGAATGGCAGCTATCATATTCCCTTTTCCTTGATGAGCAAGTAGGACTAGCATTGTCATCCGTGACATCATGCCCCTTACTGCTGCTTCTCGAACAGTTACTGTCTCTTCGACTCCTGTCATTTCTGCTCTCATCCTTCATCTTTCCTTTAAGCCTATTGTCCAATTCTATCTCTTTCTGCCGGAGTCTCCACATTTCATTTACTTCCACAGCTCGATTTGCTGAAGAAAACAGAAATAAAATCAGAACTTCAGCTGAACGACACAATATTCACCAAACAAATAAAATATGGGTGTGTATGGCAATTTTGGTTACACTTTAATGCAAAAGCAACAGAACCTCACATATGCTAATCAAAACATAATGGGCTCATCATATATTTCTAGTTAAAAAACTGCATATAAATTAATTTTCATTTTATGCAACCTAAGAAAGGCAACAGTGCGTGATCCAAACTGGTACCTTTTTTAAGGCACTAGTATGATGTGCCTAAATATTGAATATGCACATCAGTTCATCAACAAAACGGCGAGATGACATATTACAGTGACTGCCTTTTTTTAAAAGGAACTCTTTAACTCATTAGGATGATTTTCATACAACAAGGAATTATGAGGTCATATCACAGAGAGAACAATGCAAGTACTAGATTATTAATACACCAGTATGGTAACTGACCTTGTTGCACGCCAAGAACAGTAGCGCTGAGGAACCGTGAATTTGGCCGAAACCGTGTTTGAGGTTGTCGAAGATAAGCATGCACACCTTCCTTCTCAGCTTGGCGCCGCAATTCAGCAGCTTCTTTCATAAGAATCGCAGCTATTCTGTTTTCCGTCTCAAGATCCATCCTATCCCTGTTATGCAACTTCCTAGGGAAAAAAAAACAAAGAAAAGAATCCCAATCAAATAGTGCATCAATGAAAGAAATAAGTTAGGAATCACAATGAACTTTCTAAATAGTGCATCTATAATGTAAAGTTGTAAACTGAAGGCATAGCTGAAGGAAATTACCGTGTAGAAACTGTACTTTATTGGATTCTCAAACTTCTTTTTGCAAGTTCTCAACCTGAAACAAAACGTCTTACATTTAATGCAGGGAACATTATAATACTTACGTTGATTTGCGCTAAAAAATATGCAGAACGATGCAAACAAATTCCCAGGGACAAATGCATGACAGTAACTGATCATCCAAACATATCTCCGCAGAAAACAAACCAAACCCTCACCAGAATTCAAATTGAATCATACACAAACCAATCAAAATTACAAAACTTCATAACAAACCAAAAAAAAATTACAGAGAATCAAGACAACCCAATATCAGAAATTGAAAATTTTAAAAGCAAAAAGATGAAACACAAAGAGACCAATCTGAATCACAAGATTTCACCAAATTAAACAGAATAGCAAGTTAAAAATAGGGGCTTTTGAAAGACATACACGATAAATTTTTGGTCCCAGTGGTGATCATGAGAAATCAAACTCACTCGGAATCCCAAACTCAAATATGTGTTAACGAAAACCCTAGAATCTCATTCGTATTCTTTCCAATAATTTAATCTCAACAGAAAAACATCCAAAACATCGAAAATTATAATTGAAAAATTACTTGGTGGCGGTGGCTTACCCGGTGACGGCGTACCTTCCGCCGTTAACAGCGTCTTTGTTTGCTTCTCCTGGCGGTGATGAGAGAGAGAGACTGCGGGGTAGAGAGAGAAAGAGAGGAGAAATGAGTCTTTTTCCCCTAACGCAAAACATAACCCACGGTTTCCACGTCAACCCAACTTAAAACGAAAATTAATGTTTGTTCGGACCAAAATACCCTTTTACGCACCCAAACGAAAAAGGCAACGTCTTTTGCCCTCACACGCAGCTCAAAGAGTCTCTGATTTTTAGCGCCGTCGAGCTCCCTCGTATCCAAGTTGAAGCTCATTTCTTTCGTTTCTTCAAAACCCAAAAATGTCTTCTTCTTCTCTGTTGCAGGCTTCAATCTCTTCGTCTTCATCTGCTTTCTTCGCCAACACCAAAATCAACTTCAACAGCAGGTATTAGTTAATCTCCCACTCTCTTCTCTTTTTTCCTTTCTATTTTTCAGCCGCCAAACACCATCGACTCTCGCAGCTGACATTATCACTGTTTGGCAGAGCTCAGAATGTCTCTCTTCCAGCAAAACCCTTGGGCGTCTGTACATGCGTCGCCACTCCACAATCAGAGAAGACAGGTCTCTGTGCTTATTTATTTATTTTCTGAAGTTATTGATTTAATCTTTTATTTTGTTCTAATTATTATGTGTACATTTTTTCAATGTGAAGCGTTCAAGACCCAGGTGTCTCGCAATGTCAATATAGCCAAACTTCAAGCTGGGTATCTCTTTCCAGAGGTTTGTGATGTCTTTCACTTGATGTTTTTGGGCATAGTGTTAAGTTGCTCAGTTGAGTCTCTCAAAGGTGGCATACCATTTTGATTTACTTCTTCAACTATTCTCATGTCGAGCTATCTATCTACATCTCTAATATAATCCCAGATAAAAAGTTGGTTTATAAATAAGTAAGAAAGATTACTCTTTAAATTTTACTCTAGGCTAAATGTTAAAGCTTTGGGGTTTGCTTTGTGTGGTATATATATGTTTTTATTTACTGCTGTACTGTATTCATATATCAATTTCTGTTTTTGGGTTGATTTGTGATTTTACTTTTCAATATATTATACAGATTGCTAGAAGAAGGGCTGCACACTTGCAAAAGTACCCTGATGCACAAGTGATTAGCCTTGGGATTGGTGACACTACTGAGCCCATTCCAGAAGTTATAACCTCTGCAATGGCAAAGGTACGTCTTTGCCTTCCTCTTTAATCGATTCTGTTACTACCCAACAGGAATGGACCTTTTTTGTCACGTTTATTATTGTGGTATCCCAGCCACGATTGGTTCAAATGAAAAAGGCATTTTTTTTCTTTTGTTGATTGTATGTATAAGCACACTTGTTTGTAATGTGTAAAATTATTCATATGCAAATCAAGGAGTGAAGCGAACCAAATATAACCAACTTGCTCCTTTCAATTACCACAACAGGACCACCACATATGAAAGTATCCTCCTTAAATGGTTGGTGATGTTGCTTTGTTTCTGTTTCCCATCTGTTCCTATTTTTATGTAAAACTTGCCTGTTTACTGGTGTTTCTTTGAGGGCAATTGACATCAACCTAACCGGCCTGAATGTCAATGTGAAAGTAGTAAAATCAATAAGCATGGGTTGCCTTTACTTGAGACCCTTTTTCTTGTTAAATTCTTGACCTCTCGTTATTTTATGATTAATTTATTTTTGGTTCTGCTAGCCAACTAAGCCAAGTTCATCGTCAGATGTAAACTTAAATTATGAGCTTGTTTTTGGTTGAGTTGGAATTGTTGAGACAGTCAAGTAGCCAACCCTTTGATCAGGGAAAACCGAGTAAATTAATCTAGTGATTGGAAATTATTTTCAGACCACATCCAGTGGATTA